GAGGTTAGTAGGTAGGAGACGGGGGTGGGGCTTGAGGTGGGAGGAGGGGATAGGTGGGAGGAAGAACAGGTTAGGGAGGTGGGGATGAGCTTGGCTGGTTTTGGGATGCGGTAGGGGGAGAAGAGATTTTGAAGCTTGTGAAATCCACATTGATACCATTGGGCTGCAGGGTTCCCAAGCGGAATATGAGTTGCATTTCCTGTAACCTTTGGGTGGCATCGTTGTGGCAGTGCAGGAGGCCCAGGATGGACATGTCGTCTGAGGAATGGGAGGGGGAGTTGAAATGGTTCGCGACTAGGAGGTGCAGTTGTTTATTGCGAACCGAGCGTAGGTGTTCTGCAAAGCGGTCCCCGAGCCACTGCTTGGTTTCCCTGATGTAGAGGAGGCCACAATGGGTACAGTGGATGCAGTATACCACATTGGCAGATGTGCAGGTGAACATCTGCTTGATGTGGAAAGTCTTCTTGGGGCCTGGGATGGGGGTGAGGGAGGAGGTATGGGGGCAGGTGTATCTCTTCCTGCGGTTGCAGGGAAAAGTGCCGGGTGTGGTGGGGCTGGAGGGGAGTGTGGAGCAGACAAGGGAGTCACGGAGAGAGTGGTCCCTCTGGAAAGCAGAGAAGGGTGGGGAGGGAAAGATGTCTTTGGCGGTGGGGTCGGATTGCAGATGGCGGAAGTGTCGGAGGATGTTGTGTTGGATCCGGAGGTTGGTGGGGTGGTACGTGAGGACGAGGGGGATTCTTTTTTGGTTTTTATTGCGGGGACGGGGTGTGAGGGATGAGTTGCGGGAAATATGGGAGACACGGTGGAGGGCGTTCTCGACAACTGGAGGGGGGAAGTTGCGGTCCTTGAAAAACGATGACATCTGAGATGTACGGGAGTGGAATGCCTCATCCTGGGAGCAGATGCGGCAGAGGCGAAGGAGTTGGGAATAGGGGATGGCATTTTTGCAGGAAGGTGGCTGGGAGGAGGTGTATTCTAGGTAGCTGTGGGAGTCGGTGGGCCTGAAATGGATATCGGTTTCTAGGTGGTTTCCAGAGATGGAAACAGAGAGGTCCAGGAAGGTGAGAGAGGTGTTAGAGATGGTCCAGGTGAACTTAAGGTTCGGGTGGAAGGTGTTGGTGAAGTGGATGAACTGTTCGAGCTCCTCATGGGAGCATGAGGTGGCGCCGATACAGTCATCAATGCAACGGAGGAAGAGGTGGGGTTTAGGGCCAGTGTAGGTACAGAAGAGGGACTGTTCCACGTAACCTGCAAAGAGGCAGGCATAGCTTGGGCCCATGCGGGTACCCATGGCCACCCGCTTTGTCTGTAGGAAGTGGGAGGATTTGAAAGAGAAGTTGTTGAGGTGAGGACGAGTTTGGCTAAACGGATGAGGGTGTCAGTGGAGGGGGACTGGTCGGGTCTGCGGGACAGGAAGAAGCGGAGGGCCATTAGGCCATCTGTATGGGGAATGCAGGTGTATGTGGACTGGACGTCCATGGTAAAGATGAGGTGTTGGGGACTGGGGAATTGGAAGTTCTGGAGGAGGTGGAGGGCATGGGTGGTGTCATGGACGTAGGTAGGGAGTTCCTGGACCAAGGGGGAGAAAATGGGGTCCAGATACTTGGAGATAGGTTTGGTGGGACCGGAGCAGGCGGAGACAATGGGTCGACCAGGGCATTCAGGTTTGTGGATTTTGGGAAGGAGATAGAAGCGGGCGGTGCGGGTTTGGGGAATGATGAAGTTGGAGGCTGTGGATGGGAGTGGAGCCAGTAAAGGTGAGTGTAGGTGGGGAGTTAGGGAGGGGATAGGTCAGTCCAGGGAGGACGGACAGGTCAAGGGGGCGGGATGAGGTTAGTAGGTAGGAGATGGGGGTGGGGCTTGAGGTGGGAGGAGGGGATAGGTGGGAGGAAGAACAGGTTAGGGAGGCAGGGACGAGCTGGGCTGGTTTTGGGATGCGGTAGGGGGAGGGGAGATTTTGAAGCTTGTGAAATCCACATTGATACCATTGGGCTGCAGTGTTCCCAAGCGGAATATGAGTTGCTGTTCCTGCAACCTTCGTGTGGCACTGTTGTGGCACTGCAGGAGGCCCAGGATGGACATGTCGTCTGAGGAATGGGAGGGGGAGTTGAAATGGTTCGCAACTGGGAGGATTCTGTTCCTCTTTTCCTCCTGAATTAAGGCCGTTAAGAAGGCATACTGGGCGCTTCTTCAGTCGATGTACAGATTCTAAGAGCGGGGAGGTAATTTTGGAGTTGTACAGGACTTTAGTGAGGCCCCAGCTGGAGTATTGTGTGCGGTTCTGGTCCCCACGCTATGGGAAAGTTGGGATTCTCCTGGAGGGGGAGATTCACCAAGATGTTGCCTTGAATGGAGCATTTCAGCGATGGAGAGAGACTGGATAAGCTCGAGTTGTTTTCTTTGGAGCACAGAAGGCTGAAGGGGGGCCCTGATAGAGGTGCGTAAGGTTATGAGGGGCATGGACAGAGTGGATAGGAAGCAGCTATGCCCCTTAGTTGAAGGGTCAATAACAAGTGGCAACATTTTACAGTGAAAAGCAAATGGTTTAGAAGGGACTTGAGAGAAATCCTTTTTACCCAGAGGGTGGTGGGGGTCTGGAATACCCTGCCTGGAAGGGGAGTTGAGATGGGATACCTCAGAATCTTTAAAAAGTACCTGGATGGGCACTTGAATTGCAATAACATTGGAGTCCTGTGACCAGCGGTATGCTGCAAGGATCAGTGTTGGGTCCACTGCATTTTGTCATTCATATAAATGATTTGAATGTATATAGTAGGTATAGTTAGTAAGTTTGCAGATGACACCAAAATTGGTGGTGAAGTGGAGAGCAAAGGGGATTGTCTCAGAGTACAAGGGGACGTTGATCAGATGGAGCAATGGGCCGAGGAGTAGCAGATGGAGTTTAATTTAGATAAATGTGAGGTGCTGCCTTTTGGAAAGGCAAATCAGGGCAGGACTCATACACTTAATGGTAAGGTCCTGGAGAGTGTTGCCGAACAAAGAGACCTTGGAATGCAGGTTCATCGTTCCTTGAAGTGG